TCTAGCTGCCATAGTTTGTACCTGATATGTAAAATCAGTGTTAATGAAGGAGTCATACAGTTAACACAGTTAATCAGAGGTTTTAAACAGTTTAACAATTTTTATTTTTATTATACACAACGACCTTAAGAGGAAGTGGTCTTCCAAAAATCACAGGTAAGGTGAGGTAATGTGGACATCTGATAAATACAGAAATATATGTATTTTTGTATCTTTGAGTTGGTCTGCCTGTATATAGAACTGTTATAGTCCTCTTGGTCTTTTACTTTTTCCACTGCTTGTTTTCGTAGTCCCAGTGGGCTGAGAAACCCTGCACTGGGCCCATTCTCATGTCCAGCATTCTCTGCAGCTCCTTCTCCTTGTACTCTTCCTCAAACGTATGTGGAACAGGTCCATACACTGGAAAGAAACAATAACAAATGAGTCAAGTGATGAGCCAGATTATACCGCAAAAAAAATGTGTTCAATACTGCATTCTTTACTTAACCAACATGAAAACCTGAGGCAGCTGAACATCAGATATTACACAGGTTTCCTTGCATATAAGCAATATTTTTCATAATTACCATATTTCCTCTGCCAAAGCACAACCAACCCAGTGAAGCCAATGAAGAAGAAGATTCCTCCAACCACAGACTTCCACTCTCCTGATCCCTGGCTCATCTCAGCGAAGCTCTGCTTGAAGCTGATGCGGTACACTGTAAAGTGGAAAAACAACTCTAGATTACATTTTTTAAGAATTTGGAAACACAAATACTCTTGGAATTTAACATTACACCAGTCCCATTATTTAGCATGAATTTAAACAATTTTAGTACTCCCTATCCTACATAATAGGAGTGGTGCAGTTATACATTACATTAGTATAAATGGGTGAACAACACTATAGCGTTATTGAGTCCTACATGCAATCTTCTCCTCATTAGAGAGTGCAACCCAGGAGCCCTTCTCCTTCTCCTTCAGGGACTTCTGCTCTGCACTCAGGTTCTGCACATAACTGACGTCGGGGAGAGGGCTGTCACGCCTGTCGAAGTAGGCAGGGAGGGCATAGTCCTCAACCTTAGCAACACCTGCAGGGGAGACCACAGTAACTCATCAAATTACTTTCACACATAATCCCTCACTCCATGTCAATGCTTTTTTTTTTTTTAACATAACCTTATTTTAGTTACCGGGCTTATTCCAAGACCAGATTTGTTTTAATTTTGTTTTTACATTTCTGCTCTCAAACCCTGGATCTAGTTCACTGTAGTATTGTTTATCACTGTTTAGATGTACTGCCACTTGAAACTGCAGACAAAAACAAAACCCACACGTTTCTGATTGTGAGCAGTGTTTAGTTTCTCATTTGACCTATAATAAACTGCAACATTGCAGCAGCAACAGCACTCCTGAAAAGCCTGTTTTTTTGTTAGTAAAGTAAAACCCATTGTAATCTGTACTTAAAAAAACATTTTACCTCTGTGTAATTTTGCCTGTAAAACTGGTGCATCTTCTTTAATCTATTGTCATAAACTTAAGGTGTCAGTTACCAGAGACAAGTTTTTTTTCTTCACACCAGCCAAGCTCCCATTACATATTAGAAATGTAGTATTACAGGAAGAACATGGATTCATTTTACAACACAAACAGCTTCATTTATTTTAAATGGTCAACTGAGGGTACATGTTAAACGTTTAGGTGTATATGAACAGAGATTTTCAAAAGGTCAGTGGCACAAGCGGAGTCTATTGTTATACTGCCAGCCATAAATAGAACACATTCAATGCATTTCGTCTTATACCTACCATGTCCTCCACGGACACAGACAGATGTGGAAATGGCACGTTTGCCAATAAGGCTTAGGGCTCTGGTTGCCAGCATTCTGTGGAAAACGTCATATAAGAGAAATTAAGAAACCGTATTAAACACTAATAAAGGTTAAATGACTTTACAATTGTTTCTGTCTTTTAATTTTTAAAGTAAACCCCGTTTCAATAGGAGATCGTGTACATACATAACAAAGAGTAGGCTGCACAGGGTCCATATTTAGATCACAATCTTTTATAAACTATTTATATACATAAAATCCTGACTCATTTTAAAATAAGTCAGTTACCATCCATATGGAAAATTTCCCTACATGAAATAATCGTCCAGGTTGATGGGCTTATTGTTAAGATTGCAAAATATTTGGTTTTACTACGACCGTCCGGCTAACCTGATGTTAGCATTAGCAACAAACACAAGGTCATAGCACCAGGGGATAAATATTCGTAGAAATACCAGATTCTCTGATGCGACCATGCAATATTCATCATTCTTCTATTGACTGAAACTACATTAATGCGTAATAACGGCAGATGACTGAAACATGAACTATCTTCATATCAAACCCGTCTTCATAAATCTGATGCTACATGCTAATGACAGCTACCCGGAACATTAGTCAGTCCTCGCTCCTATCTACTCCGACAAAGTCACTACTTATTTCGGTTAAAATAGGCGATTCTTCGCAAGCCGTTACTTTTTCCTGCACATGTCGCGGATGCTAAAATTATATATATCTACGAAGGATAAGTAATTTATTATTGAGTTTTAAAAAATAAAATAAAACCATACCTCTTGTCTCTTTCTTGCTCCCGTCCGCCGACAGTCTGAAGGGAAGTGTGACTGGGAACGGAAAAACGTAAATTGTGCGTTTGACCGGATGGACTCTGATCTCGTTTTACGACAGTTCTGATTTACGGCGTACCGGTGCTACAGCAACGAGTGGAAGGTGGAAGTAAGATTAGCTTCTGTGACTGCACGCCGACTAATTTATCCAGCATAAAAGGACTGCTGTCATTTCGGATAATTGTAGAGCTTAATGAACTCATCACAAACTGTACTTCCGACATCATATCGTGGCAGTAAGTTAACTGCTGAGGTGTACATCTACTTTTCTCCGGGCATGTCAAGTAACGATAGCTAACGGTAGCAGGCAGCTGTCCCCCCCTCCTTACCGTCTAACTTAGCCACTCTGGAAGCTTTAGTCTTTACTGAAATTCTGCCGACTTTCTTATAAAAATGCCCATTCAGCTGACAAGTCAGGCGTACTGTAAAATGCTTTTACATGCTGCCAAATATCCACACTGCGCCGTGAATGGATTGCTGGTGGCAGAAAAGAAGAAGGACAAAAAGAAAGATAGCCACAGTGAGCCAGTTCTGTGCGTGGACTGTGTGCCTCTGTTTCACGGTACTCTAGCTCTGGCACCAATGCTGGAAGTAGCCTTAACTCTGGTAAGTATTTGCATATAGAGTTCTGTGAAGAAAAAAATTGCCCAAATTAAATAGAAAATGTAGGTTTTAAAGTGATGATTTCATTTATTGAAGTAAAAAAAATCACCGAATTTCACTATCCACACCCAGGCCTGATTACTGTAGATCTGTTACAGCAAGAAATCACTTCACGTTTGTCTGTCTAAAAACAACTCAAAGTATTACATCTTTCTATGATCTAAAAGCACTCAGAAGAAAAAAAAAGTCACTAGTATATGCTGGCGTGGAAAGGTTGCACAGCAATTCTTATTGTCATTAGAATGATGAGAGCCATTATCAACCAGTGGAGAAATCTTGGAACAGTGGTGAACCCTCTCAGGCTTGGCCAGCCTACCAAAATCACTCCAAGAGCACATCAGTGACTCATCCAGGAGGGCCCAAAAAGAACCCCAAACAACTAAAGACCTGTAAGTGTCACTTGCTTCAGATAAGGTCAGAGTTCATGATTCACTGTCGGAAAATGGCATCCATTGGAGAGCTCTAAGGCAAAAACCATAAACCTGTTTACAGCTGGCATGAAACTACCACAGAATTTCATAAGATGAACATCATAACAACAATCAAACATGGTGGTAGTGTGATGGTTTGGGGTTGCTTTCGCTGTTTCAGGCCCTGGACAACTGGCTGCACTTGTAATTAGAACCATGAATTCTGCTGTACCAGAAAGTGCACTTGGGTTCTACAGCAGGACAGTAATGTGAAAAAAAGGAGGAAGTCCAGCTCTGAGTGATTAAAAAGAAGAACATTAACAGAATGATAGTTTTGAGGTTACCTAGTCAAAATCTGCACTTACATTTTTAAGGGATGCTTTGGCATTCCTCCAGTTATCACTTGACTTAAGGTCTTGCTGCCAAGAGTGGCACAAGTAGTTATTGGGTTTAGGGGACAATAAATTTTTCACAGGGCCAGGTAGGTTTGGGTAGCTTCATTTTACCCTGACTAATTATTGTATTTTGTATTTACTCAGGGCATCTTTGTTTAATATTATCTTTTATTTGATGACAAATTCTGGTTTAGACACTTGCCTTCTAAAATGACAGTACAGTTTTTCTTTTGTTTTAAATGTTGTAGCAATTTGTTAGGTTGTGGTGCTTTTGAAGTATCCTGCTTTACTCTAAAATCCATTACTAATGTTGCGTCACTTTTATTTATGGTAGTGAGACTGGAAATAATATAAAATTAATGTCTGCAGCTCTGAAATAGTTCTGAAGTTTCAGTCTAGCTCTATATGCATTTTCCTATGTTTAAAATAAAATATACCTGACCTAAACTATGTTTCTGTTCTTATATGTCAACCTGATGGGCCCCTGCTCCAACTCCAGATTGACACTTGGTGTAAAGAAAATAATTATGTCATTGTCGGATATTATCAAGCCAACGAACGCACAAAGGATTCAAGGTAGAAACACTGGCGCTGTGCTGTTCCAGGGAAAAGCAACCACTGAGAAACCATGCTGCATCCTGCTTTGGACCTCACTTTAATATATGCTTTTCTCCTGCAGGCCCAACCAAGTTGCAGAGAAAGTGGCAGCCAGAATTTCTGAGAACTTCAGTGAAGCAGCAATTGTTATGGTAACTGTAAATTATTAAGGCTGATGCAACTGGGTTACACGTTATGTTTTTTTCTTTCTTTCTCCAAAGCAATTGCTACATCCATTGTTATAAATGCATCCTCTTCAGGTAGCAGCTGAGTTTTAGTTTAGTAAAAATGAACCAAAATCCTTAAATACACTTGTCAGCACAAGCCTCTATTTATGTCTCTATACAGTAATATATAATATTGTATAAATAGAGTGACTGATGTGGCTCTACAGGTTGAAAATAAAGCCTCAAAATTCCATCAGATATTTCAGTGAAATTTGCTATAATGACATTTATGATAATGTAGAAAAAAATGCTGAGCCCTTTATAGGTAATTGCAGGATTTAATCCATGCAAATAAAGTGTAGCACATCTTTCATCCTTCTTTTCCAATGAGTTGATATCACTGATGACACACTGCCCAATTTGAAGTGCGAATCTATCGCCACAAGGTGCCAGCAGCAGCAGCGGCATTGTAAGGCAATAGCAGTGACACAGCAAATGCAAGCACAGTATCCTCGCGTTTAATAAATGACAATGTTTCAGTCCTGTTGACCTTCAGCAAGAGCTGGGTTGTAATTTTATAGTTTAAACGTATTAGCTGTAAGTGGGAGAGCGTGCGATGAGTTAGAATTGTTTCTGTGGAATTTTGTCACTCATTTGGTTGTACAAAGATTTTGAATTAGTACTTTGAAACATACTAAAACTTAAATAAAACAAAATACTTTCTACCCAGGGTGCTGCATGTTGAGTTGAGATTTTTTAGCCAGCTGCTTTTCCACCATGTAACCACATCAGTCATTTCTAGCTACTGTTTGCTCTACCTGTCATATGTAGTCCAACTGGCAAGTGCTCCAGCAAGACTCTGTTGAGTCACCTTTAGCAGGAACAGTTTTCTTCCATATTTTGCAAAGCATTGTTTTGTTGGAGGTCATTGAAGTAGCTGCCTTTTTACTGAATCATTCAGTCTGACATGCAGCACTCAGTCTCAGACGTGTCTGGGCGAAATAATTAGATGCATTATAAAATATATAACACTGTTTCTGAAAGACATTTTTCTTAGACCCTGGTCTGGTCTGTTGCAGTTGTTGTTATCACCTAAAAGTTGCACCTAAATTCACAGTAAATTTTGCGTGTTTTCCTGCAGGTGGACAGCAGTAAGTTAACAATGAGCTGTTCCGAACCCATCGTCTTGATCTATGATCACCACGAAAACAAGTGGAAAAGCAGAGAAGTAACGGCGTAAGTGTTAAGAGCTATTTTAGTGTGAGATTTTATCTTCCTCTGCAGACTATTTGTGCAGCTAACTCAGAGCTTCCAGCATACTTACAACTCCAAGTGTTCTCTCATTTACTTGAATTATTTAGACAAAGTACATTACACTGTAATTACATTGTAATTACCCTGTATTTTCAGTATTAAAGCTTGAATATGTAATTTTTCAAAAAACTGTTTTCCAGTGACTCCTTTGAGGACTGGAGCGAAGCACAGAAAATCACATCTGCCCTGCTGGTGGGTCGTTCCTATGAGAACTTGATTGATTTTGACAGTCACTTGGATGATCTGAGGAACGACTGGACCAACCCTGTTATTAACAAGTCCGTCCTGGATCTGTGCTAAGACCTTCAGTCGGGAGTACCCATGACACACACATGCACGCACACACACACATGTGAACAACTATATTGCTGCCAATTCAGCATGCACACTGCTACTTGTGTAGCACAGGAGAATGAAAAAGCTGAACCTATAGTCTGCGTTCCATAAAAAGTCTCTCTCTCTGAAGGGAACTTGTGGGGCACTGGCCAGTTAGGCCAAATGTTTTAAGGGCAAGCACCATATGTGCGCTGTTGGCCCGTGTCCACCTCTTACAGGTTGATGCTGCAGTGATGAAAGCTTTTATGTTGGGTTTTTTTTTTATGCAACTTTGGGTTTTTTTCCCCTGCAATGGGTTTTGATATCCTGTTTTATGTAAAAGTTTAGATTCTAGAGGTTTAAACCTATACATTTGCTTTTAGCCATACAGAGATCAAGTTCTAAATAAGTTCTAAATTATTAATTTTTAGGTAATGATTTTACAATTGATAGGATAAATGTGTTCTTTATTAAGTTTCTTGTTTATAAAAGATCTGAAGGAAAATTCACATATATAAGTGAAGTCTGAAAGTTTTAGATGACGCTGAACCAGAGATTTGGCCCATTCAAAAGCCCCAACTTTAATCTTTCCGTAGATGCATTTCTAGCGTGCATGCTTCTCGGTACTGCCACTAATGTGACGGAGAATGTCAGTCTGGATGATGCACATGTGCATTTTGGCTCTTGATTTATGATCTGGAAGACCGGCTCTATACTGAATCAGATCACAGGAATGTGTGAATTTTGTTTTGTGTGGATATCCATTCTAAGAACTAGATAAATTCTATGTTAACACTTAACTGATTATTCTAAAACCAAATATTAAAAAGTTAATATTTATTGTGAGACTACAGAAGCACCTTTTGTAATTGAGATTAGAATTAATCAGTTAATTGTGTGGATGAAACATTTTCTACTGCAATTGTTTTGAGCTGAATGTTCAATGAAACTGATTTTTGAAAACATCTATATGTTTCTACAGATCTCTTATTGCCTCTTATATGTTAAACCTATTTAGCTGTGTCTTATACAGTTATTTGCAAAAGGACTGTTCAGCAATGCTAAGGTAAAGTGAAGCCTTACTGCTTCTATAGGCTTACAGAGTTGCATTTGAACAGACTACAAGTCTTCTGGAACAAAGTCCACTGGACACAAACACAGAAGACAAACTGAAAACACAAACAGCATATAAGCACAAACACCTCATACCAACAGTTGCGTAATGGAAGAGGGGTGATGATTTAGGCTTGTTTTGCAGCCACATAACCTGGGCACCTTGGCAGTTACTGAACTGACCATGAAACCCTCTGTATCTGAGGCCATCTGTCTGAGAGCTTGATCAAAACTGGGTCAAGGAACAGGACAAGAATCCACAGCACAACAGCAAATCTACAAGAAAACATCTGAAAAAGAAAAGAATCAAGATGTTGCAGTGGTCCAGTTAAAGTCCAGACCTCAACCTCATTGAAATGCTGTGGCTGGACCTTAAGAGAACTGTGCATAAACAAATATCCACAAACCTCAATGAACTGAAGCGGCATTACAAAAAACAATGGATCAAAGTTCCTCCACGCTGTGAGCGACTGATAAACTCATACGCAAAGCAAGCACTTCAAGTTATTGCTCTTAAGGTGATTCTACAAGCAGAGTCATGTGAAAGCTTTCTTTTTCACATGACTGCATCTCTGCCATGACAATTTTAAAAAAAAAAAGTCTAAAATCACTTTTAGAATAATCACTGCCCAGCTTTGGGGGTTTTTGTATGGTTTAGCAGCAGCCTGTTGAATTAAGTTTTTTTTTTTAATAGTTTTGTTCAAGAACAAAATACACAGAGTGCTTTACAGCACAGAATAAGATGCAAATAAAATGGTATATTAAAAAACAAAATAAAAGCAATCCTGCATATATGGGTCTTAAGTTTATTTTTAAAGATATCAATCAGTCCACAGACTTTAGATCCAGTGGAAGCGATTTCCATAACTTGGGAGCCACAATCACCTTTTGTCTTTAACCTGGACCAAGGTACAGCCAATAAACACTGTCGGCTAACCTCAGAGTGCTAGAGGTCATGAATGGTTGTAGTAGCTGCGGTTTTCTAATAATTTAGTGGTGCAAAGTTCATATTCGCACGTGTCTACAGATTATTTCATGCTTTGTGACCATTCTAATCTATAGCTTCAGTCTCCCATACTCTGCATAATGTAATTCTTGTAAAATGAAAACTAAATGACAGTGTGGCCGTATCTGTGAAGAACTCATGGAAGTTTTTAAACAAATGACACTGTATATTTTCCTAATATCCATATTCATTTTATGCTGCTTTCTACTCCAGCACATTAAGTGAGACAACAGAAATCTGACAGCAACTTACATTATTTTTAAATGTATAAAAAGCTAATAAAATGGTCCCTACATTGACTAGTTACACCTTACATGCTACTTGCCCGCTGCCATATCAGCAAAAATAAATAAACAATAGTAATAAACAAAATAAAAAATGGAATTAAAACAGAGATGTTAGAGATGTGAAAGTGGTTTAAATTGTGAATGTAGTATTCTAGTTTCAGTAAAGATAAGTACTTCTTCTATCAGTGCACGATAAATGAACTGAAACTAATTCTGTCTAACTACAGCATGGGTGCATTTCTGCAGAAATACCTCAAGCACAGTCCACTGACAGGAAATATTTGAAGTGGATTTGAGAGCAGATGCTATTAAAATAAATGGTTTGGATTTATGAAGAAGTTTCATTGCTGTTTTAAATAATAGATTGTGGTGTCTTCTGTCAATTTTCTTTGTTCGTTTTATCTTGGCAAATTTATTTGAGATGTGTGGTGTGAATGTTGTGAGACCGTTTGTACAACCAGGAAGAATCCTTTGGATGGGGTTATTGATCCCGAAAGGCAAATTACTTCAGCATCAGAAGGAATAAAAATAAAAACAGTATAACAGACAACAGAAACATTTTTAAAAACTGCAACAGGAAAACACCAAAGGCCGTAAAATATGAGGCAGTGAAAAATTGCATGTAAAACTGTGATAAAAAATGAATGAAATAGAAAACATAATAAGACTGAGGTTATGTAAAACAGAATTCTGCAGAGTGGTAATGCAAGAATGGTTCTTTATGGCAACAAGGTTGAATAAGTCTGAGGGAGAATGAGCTCCGTAGTGTAGAAAGGAGCAGGTGTGACGGGTTGTCCATGATATTCAGTGACCTCCTGTCTCTCACTGACCCAAATGCCTCCAGATGAACTGATGATCTTAACGTCATCGCTGGCCTGGATGCTGGCACAGACCGGCAGAAGTTCTTCAACATCTTGCTGAACACACTGAAGGATCTGGACTTCCTCAGAAAGTAATCAGTTGATCCCCTTCTTGTACAAAGCATCGCTGTAGGTTCTTCAGTACAGTCTGTCACTGAACACCAAGTATCTGTTGTTAGCTGTCCACTGATTCAGCCTCCTCACCCACGATTCTAATGGGTTCAGACCCAGTCACTGACAAAAACATTTAACTTTGTTCTCACATGTAAAAGGTCACTGCCAACTTTCTTGTTATTGCCTGGTGAATGCTGCCATCTGGTGGAGTTTAGTTGCAACTGTTGTCACTCACATGGCCCACTTCCTTCTTCCGGGCCAGACAATGCTAAATTAAAATTTAAGGTATGGTCAGCTTCGTCACGGCCAGGCCCGCACCTCACACGTAAATTAACAATTTTAAAAATGCAATTAACACCGAGATTCGAGAAATTATACAGAAAAATAAAAATGTGACGTGCCGTAATACGGCACACAATAATGTTCACTTTTGCGATACTGCGCTTCCTGTTGATGACGTAGTTGTCTTTTTCTTGACTTCATTGTCGGTTAATGCTGCCTTCAGCGCGGGAACGGTTTGTAGTGCAGTTCGAGTGGGACGGAAGTTTTTGAACACACACACACACACAAAAACCAAACAGATATGGATGCTTCGGAGGTCGAGTTCCTTGCGGAGAAAGAGATGGTGAAGATAATACCAAATTTCAGCCTAGATAAAGTCTTTTTAATCGGGGTAAGTCAGTTGTGTCTGTATTTAAGTAGCTGGTTTTTGACCAGATACTGAGACGTTGACAGTTACTGTAGCAATATTAGCTAAACCTTGGGCTAAAACCTTGTATTATATCACGACACACTCAGTTTAAAGCTGGAGGTATGTATGTATGTATGTAAAGATGTTTCTGTTTGAGTGGATCACTTCACTCAGTGACTGATTAAAACACGCACAAAAAAAAGCCTCATCTCTCAAACTCCAGACTTTAACGAACTACCATCCATTTACATAAATATAAGTAGCTCCAGCTAAAATAAAATCTGTCTAAATATATTTCGAAAAAATTGAAGCTCCAATAATATTCGGTACCGTATCTTTGGCCTTTCAAAAAGTACCCCGAACTATTATTGCTATATTATACTGCAGTTTTTATTATTGATCAAGTAAATACAGGCTCAGCACTGCAATAAAACACACTTTTCAGCTTTATGTATTTTGTTTGATTTGGATTATTTTATTTTTTGGGAAACTTGCAATGTAACTGTGCCTGTCTGTAAAACACTTTGGGTCTAATCTGTTATATAAACAAAGCAGACTTGACAGTCAACACATGAATGCGCGATTTTTGGAGCCACCATGAGAGTGTATGAGATTTTAGAGAATTATTGTTCAATAATTCTCTAAAATCTCATACACTCTCATGATGTTTTTTTTTTTTTTTTTTTTTTTTTTTTTTTTTTTTTTTTTTAATTTTAAAATAAATAACAGCTACAAGACCCCGCAGCATGATGTGAATTTAACTGTGGCCCCCACTGTACTGTGGAACTCTCTCCCTTTGAGCCTGAGATCTGTGGACTCAGTGGTTTTTGAAAAATAAATTAAAATAAAAAAAACAGCTAAAAACTCATCTTTTTAAACTTGCTTTTGGTTGATTTTTATTTTTAGTTTTAGCTTCTGCGAAGCACTTTGTGATTTTATCTTGAAAGGTGCTATATAAATAAACTTTTACTTACTTTCTTTACTTACTAAAGTCATGGAATATTTTTTTGGTATTTTTTTACATAGCTGGCTGCACAAGAGAGCCTGTGTTATTCATCAAGCTCTCAGGATGGCTCGTTTGATGTAAATCAGACTGTAACTTGTAGTTGCTGCTGTTAGAAAGAGAAATTGTTTATCTTCTAGCAATGTTTTTTATTAATCATGAAAGTGCAAATGTGTATCTTTCCAACTTCACTGAAGTGGGGAATGCATTGTGCTGCACGATAAAATATGTGTATTTGTGTTCTCAGGGAGATCTGGGTCCCTTCAACCCTGGACTACCTATTGATGTTCCCGTGTGGCTGGCTCTAAACCTAAAACAGAGACAGAAGTGTAGAATTATTCCTCCTGAGTGGATGGATGTTGGTAAAGTTCAAAGTTTTTCCTGATGCGGTCTTTGCAGGCGTTTGTTTCCAGGCATGAACTGAGAGGATTACTTAAAAATGTTTCAGATGAGGGTCTTTCAGTATTTTGAGTATTTTTTCCTTCACATTATGACATATGTAATCATTACTGGCATGCCATGTTAAGCCTAGACCTGCCTTGCCATAACTTTGACATGTAAGTAGTGCTAAACTATTTTTCCAAATTTGCATTAGATAAGTAAAAAAAAAATGGGCACAAGAAATGCAGTAAGATTGTTTCCTTAGTTGTAAGAGGCAAATTATTCAGATTTTGTGTTCATTACAAATGCAAAATGTGTAAAATATGTGTATGTCGTTGTTGGTCTGTATGCTGTAAGAACCCATATGGAAAAGATAAATATAAATCTTATAAAGTTTGTATCTGTCTTGTGTGAAACTTGTATGAAAAGCATATAAGAGTGAAAACAGATATAAGATCCCTTGAAAAATTATATAATGAAACTTGTATGTTTTGGATACTTACTAAAACAATATATGAAAGTAATGAGAAAGTGGCCACTTTCATGAGTAATCACATATAAGTTTTTAATATTTCTTTTCCATATGGAAAATGCTGAAAAGAATAAATTCATTGGTGGTTTTATTTGGAATTTCTGTTTTACTTCTCCTACAAAAGTCAGCAGAAAAGAGAGGAATCTTGAAAATCTTTCAGCATTTTTGTGTGTCGCTGCAGTTTGCTGCTGTTGACATTTTCCTTCACTGTGCAGAGAAACTGGAGGAGATGCGAGACCTTGAGAGAAAAGAGGATATGTTTACACCTGTTCCTAGTCCTTACTACATGGAGCTTACCAAGCTGCTACTAAACCAGTGAGTCATATACAATTAAGTAATCCACAGAAATACAGCCCTCAGTACTGTTGTGTGCTTGGTGTATGTGCCCCCTCCCCTTAAAAGAGAGGTTTCTGTGTTTCTGCAGCGCGTCTGACAACATTCCTAAAGCAGATGAGATCCGTACACTGGTCAAAGACATCTGGGATACTCGCATTGCCAAGCTCCGCTTGTCTGCTGACAGTTTCATCAGTCAGCAGGAAGCTTATGCCAAGGTAAAACTGATCACATGTAGGGTGTTTAGTATTCTCTGCTGTCACTTAACCATTGAGTTTTGAACATTTAATTGAGTTGAAAACAGATGCAAAGTAAGTACAAATTCAACAGCATAATAACAGAATTACCAGTTCCACATAAAAGGACAGTGTGACATTTATTCATTATCCCTTCAAGTTGTGGACCCATTGCATATTGAGATCCTTTAGAAAAAGTGGCATCACCTTAAGTTCCCCCAATTTAATTGGCTGTATATAAGCATTCAGTAAATGTTATCTATAGGTAATGTAGAATCTGATTTAAGTGTTCCATAATGTGTTTTCTTAACAGCTACACTCCCACTTTAGGTGTTTTCCTCACACTGTCTTAAAAGTAAAGCTAATGTGGAAATGTCTTACACTTGCATCCTTTCTGATGACCTGCAGGGGGTGATTCATGTGGTTGAGGGCTGACAGTATAGAAGAAAAACCTTTTGGCTCCCTATGACCTCATGAAACACTTTACTGACGTGTTTATGGTCTCAAACCCAAGTTTTAAGCCTTATAGGAACAGCATGATGGCTATTTTGATTCAACAGAAAGGACTGCCCCCATCTGAAGACAGACGCTCTCTGCAGGCAGACTTGTAGTCTGTAGTAGCTTTTCATGTCCGGTTTCGTCATTATTAAGACGGCAACGGTGAAAACATTTGGCTTGAGGCTTCACATAGGGACTTCACAAATCAATGGGTGATGTCAGTTGAGAAAGTGCCCATCTTTTCTATACAGTCTATGGTATTACAGCACATCAACATTAAAAAAAACCCCCAGTAATAAAAGATTCATTGGTTATGTTGCAATTGCTGACAATACCATACCAACAGTGAAAGTCACAATGAACTTTCACCTGTTTATCATTGAGTTACCTACTGTGTCACAGACTAACAATGTTATTTTAAATCTTTGAATATACCTAATTCCTCTTTCTGTCCACAGCTGGACAACCTTACTTTGATGGAGATCAACACCATACGAGCATTTCTTCTTGATACTCTCAACTGTATGTACAAGCTACGGTCCAACTTGCAGTGAAGGGCAGTTCATGGACTACTGGTAAAAAAGCTCGAACACACACAAGGCTTGCTAAAAAGGGTTGGATTTAGCAAGACTGGGGTTAAACCTAACATTAAAGACAGTTTTCTGGAAAAGTGAAGAGATTTACTCAACTATTTAAGTTATCATGTTGCTCTCCGGTCTGATTTGTGTGAATCTGCTGTTTGCAGTTAGTTTATCATTTGTTAATGTTGTCATTAAGTTTCAAAATGTATGTATGTGCATGTAAACAGAGTATATACATGTATACTTTTTTTCCTCACAATTTTTAATCAGTCTTATTGTGATTTTTGATCTTGTTGTTGTGTTAGTGATTAAAAAAGATGTTTTCTGGTTTACTAGAATGAATGTGGTTTCTGTCAAACATTGGTAAACTAAACAATTCCTTCCTAAAATGTATGTAGGTGGGGGAAAAACCCACAGTAAAAGGAATTCCACTCAACTCTTGTTGCATTTTATTCTAAAGATGGATAATATTGGATAATATTGGTTGATATTGTTCTCAGGATTGCACCGAAAATGAATCCGTTTCCTAATCTCCAGTGCAAAATGTCTAGCTGTTAAACCAGAACCCACAAAGAGACAAAGGTTGATATTTAACATTTTTGAAATATTTTATTTTCTTTTTTGTCTGAAATCACAGCCATATATTCATAAATACCTAATTACTACATTCAACAAAGAATATATTACATTACAATGAATTCAAACAAGTACATTTTAAAAACAGGATTTCACAGCATCTAGACATCCTCCACTGAGTAATGGGGCTATTGCATGAGCGTGCGTGGGTTGGAGACACGGGGAGGCTGAGCAAGAGAGGCTTACCACACTGCACCTTCCTCCCCAGCTCAATGGCAGCTTACCTCAGCATGCATGCTCCTTCACTTACAGATAGGTTACGCTGTTGGCTTTCTTCTTTGTAAAAAAAAAAAAAAAAAATCTGACTACACTCTGTATTCCTCTAAACTGGCTTACGTGTCATTTATATATAAAAAAAATTGTCTTGTGACTCATTTGGATGAAAGAAACTTGGTATCAGTTTGTGACTTGTACATATTTGAAAGGTATGACATACAGTAGACACTTGGATGTAATATGCAAAGTCCCTGATCACTGATGTTATGTCATGTAATGTCTGTCCTGTAGACGGAAACTCATTCACATGCTCCCAAATTCTTGAGGCACTTGTAATAAAGTGTATGTAAGGGGGTAAGTTGTGCTTCAGTACTTTTTTTAAAAAATAAATTAAATATTGGTACATTTTTAAAGTTTTTATTTGCAAATACTGAAATCCTTAACCCACTCACATCAAACATCCCACCACCACACAAGTCAAACGATGACCTAGACACCTCATTTCACTGTGTCTGAGGTCTCCAAGTGCACATAGAACCATAAGGTGGAGACAAGATGAATTACAGGGTAGAAAGTCACTGTAATACGAGCCAAATCTCATTAGGAAGATGGGGGGCAGATGGAGGTTGTAAACAGATATCCAAGGTAAAGCAAACCTTTCTGATTTTAAATGTACCAGGAGCTGCTCAGTTAAGCGTCCTGCCTGGTTTCTAGGACATCTTGGCAACTTTGTGTGGGTGGAGAGCGTCCTAAAAATAGAGAAATGCAAAGAGTAGATGATGTTATGTCAAACATATTCAGCAGTATAAGATGGCCATTCTGGTTTGTATGTTTGGCTACCCAACTGCAACTAATAATTTACTATGCTATAGTTTTATCATTATTTTGGCACCATTTCGTCTCATGGCTGCTGACAGGGGCTTGATCTTGTAAGGCATACCGCAAACCGTCATATCGTGTGTTTGAGTTCAATGCTATGCGTCATACAAAGTAAAGTAAAGGTCCAAAAACAGGATAAAGCAAGATTTATCTGCTGGCTGTGTAAGAAAATGTCTTACAATAATCAAGAAAATCAAGTTTAAAAAAAAAAAAAAAAAGTGGCTGTGGATCTGGTTTCTGCATGAGTACTTAACTGGTCATGTCAGCAACAGTAAAGCTGACTGGGAGGAGCTGATGAAATGGGCATTAAAACAGAGACACACTGCTGTGAATGAAGGGGGAGTGGAGGGCATGAGCCACATCTCAGGACCTCTAAGTAAGCTTTGCTGAGCTCAGAGGCCAGATAAGGTGGCTGTGGCTGGGGTCTCAGCTGCGCAGTGCCGGGACAGAATAAGAGGAGTGCATCCTGCTTCCTCTCACTCTGCTAAATGTCTCAAAACAAGCTGTTCTAGCCAGCAGCAGTACAAACACTAAAAGCAAGGCTTTCTTTTTTTTCAACCCAAAAAGCATAAACATATAAAATGGCAGGCTTTTTCTTTTAAAAGAACAATGATTAAAGTAATAAAAACATACAAAATTCTTTTTAAGTCTTCATATTATATACAATACAAGGCTTAAGCACCTTTTAAAATTCTTATTTTGAAATTTTCTATTTCGAAATAAAACATTTACTTAATTCTTTCCAAAAATGTGCATTTTCTAAGTTCTTCCCTAATTTGAACAGTTCTTTGTTGTAACACAGTACCACCAGGTAGTTCTTCAGCTTTTATTAAGTGCATTTCCAGTTCAAAAGCTCATGTGGCCACAAAATAAAAGGAAAAAAGAAAAGAAATCAGTCCCAAATGACCAAAGGTCTTCATTTGGAGATTTGGAGCTTTCAAGTCTTGTAACGACACCCCCCTCTGGGGGTAGCTGCTCCCTCATTGGCAGGATTGTCTGTGTAGCTGTGGCGGTGAGGGATGCAGGGACTGAACAATAGCGCAGCAGGGACTGAAGAATGAAAAGCAGGTGTCATGTTGATCTTCAGGTTTTTCTGCCCCATACACTCACTGATCTTGGAGTTGGCTACATTGGCACACATTAGTGGCTTGTGGTGCAGTCCCTGTTGACCCATAATCCAAAGACTGCCTGTACTTCACTGAATGGTCCGGTCTCCTCTGCATTCACCTATCTATCCATCCATTCACTCCATTCATTCATTCATCGTATCTAGCCAGCCGTATTATCCTCCATGGAGCTATGAGGACCAGGCCATTAAAAATAAACTCTGGGAGTCAGTCTGAAAGGGAAGGAGGCTCGGGCCCAAGGGCTATCAAAATCAGCGTCATGGTCACCTCGGAGGGTAACCTTTATAATGGCCAGCTCTTGGCCAGTGTGTCTGTGGCAGCGTCAAACACTTCCTGAAGTGTTCCATTTCTGCTTGGAGCTTCTCTCTTTCCACTGCCAGCTTCTGTCTTTGGGACATCAGCTCCTAGGTAACCAAGGACATTAAAAATATATAAGAATATATATATATTTTAATTCACAGTGATCTTCATGAGAAGGCAAACCTGTGCTATATATAACAATATTTACAAAGATAAGTGAAAAACAGAAAAGCAATAATATGAGTGTAATAAAGAAAAGCTGTCTGGATTCCAGTGATTAATCAGAAGAGGCCAATAGTGTAAAGTATAAGTTTTTACTTTGCTCTGCTATTTATGAAACCACTGATCTACGAAAATAAGTAAAGTTGTGCACCCACTCCTATTATAGATGCTCATAATTTCTTAGCAGAGCGCCGCTGCTAAGTCACTTGCAGTTATGTAGTAAATATTTTGACTTCCTGGCCTCAGCTTAAGTGGCTCCGTATGCTTGTCTTACCCCCATGGTATGAGACAGCTGCTCAGCAGTTAGACTAAGGTTGTAGTTCTGAGCTTCTAGTCTTCGACACTGGCTCTGCAGTACTTGTCGCTCCAAAGTTTGCTCTGGATCAGAAAAGGGAATAAGAGAAAATGAAGAAAAACAGGATTAGCAGAATTTGGACCATCTAAATAGATGCAGGATAATCTGCTGCAAATGTCTTCAGGCTCCTGCCTTCATTGTTAAAGGTCTTAAAATACACTAGTGGCAGGATGTGAATGTGAGACTGGGAGTAATTAGAGATCAACTCAACCATTTTTCACAAATTTTCTTGTACAAATACTAAATACAAATTAAATTGTGTAAAATGAACAATGACTACTACCCTCTAGTGGTGACAGAATGCTACAACAACTTAAAATAGGATATACATTATACTCATAAGGAAGTGACACGAAAACACAGAACATTACAGAAATAATGTGACAACTCTTTCAAACTTCATAAATCATTATTTCATTATTATTACCCGTTTTATTTACTTTTCCCAAGCATGTGCAGTGGCAATAAACCAGAAATGTGTGGTTGCCTTTAATATTCTTTATTTCTACTGTAGTTTTTCCATCCAGAAATGTATTTATATGACATAATTTATTTATAGAAACTACAGATGTTGACTACAGTTAGTTACCTTACTTTCAGTGTTTTATTTTTGATATATGCGATTGATTACCCAATGTATTGTGGGTGTTTTTAAGCTTTTTGTGACTTTTTTTCATGACCTGCTGGAACAAAGTGCTCCACACATTCAGATTTACAAGTTTAAGCACTGTGTTTTTCTTTTTCTTCACTGAATATTAGCACTGTGTCTCTTTACATCTAGCAGGAGAATGCGTAGTTGAGTGGGGTTCACAGGAGTGAATAGGAAAGTAGGGCCTCGCTGCAGGCAAAGAGCTAAAAGGTGAAGGCGGGGCCAATTTGCATATTTGTAGATCATGCTCAACGATGGAAAAAATGTATAGTTGGATCTAAAACAAGTAATTCTGATTTAGGGGATAAATCAATGACATATGCAAAATAATATGTATTTGTGCACAATCAGTAATCTCAGTATATATTCCAAAGAATAAAGAAAACCTCTAATCCCTTATAAAATTATACAGTGATAATAACAGAGGGACTGTTAAAGCTGTTTATGTATGTAAAGTGATCTAATATCAGACCATGTAATACACAGGCACCTCAGCTACTTACCTTCCACATATTCCTGATAAGCTTCAAATATAGATTCAATCCCCTGCCACTTGAAAACTGAAGCCTCTTCTTCCTCCTCCTCGTCTTCCTCTTCAGAGTCCTCTGGACCAGACATGTCCTCCCTCATCCCCGATGCCTCCCTGTGCTGAGGCATCGAGAGGTGCTGCCCGTTGGGCTGAGGGTGAGAGTGCAAAAGTGGATGTGGAAATGACTGTGGAGTTGAGTGGGACTGTGAATGTGGCTGTGGTGGTCGGCCAGGAGGGCCCTGAAGCTCGGGAATGTTGTAGTGAACAGAGGACTCCTGGAGGTGGGATGACTCTGACACCCCTGCGGCTCCACCTAATGGACAAATGTTGAGGAGAAGAAAGAGATGTTACATTTCATCAATTTCATATTTTACACATAGGGATATTTTCCATCATTTCTTCATATTTGATAGTCTCTCCAAAAGTTATGTTGGCCTGCTCTCCATGTATTCACCTTTCCAAAGATGCCTATTAGACCTTATTTTGAGCCGTTTACCTTTATGTTTCTGCAGAGTGGACTGTAGCACAGATTCGTGGAACTGCTGGGCAAATTCCTCTGGGGCGAAGTCCCGTGGTTGTGTGCGTCCATTGATGCTGTGATGACCTTCTTTAGCCTGCAGGGGGAGTGGGGGCCTCAAGCTGTTAAGCAGGCTGGAGCTCCTCTTTGAGATCGGTCCCTCACTGGGCCCCCGGGCCTTGTCTGGGTAGACAGCTGGAGAAGGGGGTGCCTTTGGTCTTAATGTGTCCCCAAGGGGTTTTGGATGCCCATTGGGGGATGTTGGGCAATGTGAGGAGGGGCTGCGTGGTCTGACACTGTGGTGCTCCTCTGGTTCAGAGGGAGGCTGGGAGAATGCAGGATCTGCAATCATTTAAACATATGTTAGTGCTGATGAGGTCAAGATCCACAATATTACAATGCAATGAGAAACTGTTGTT